AGTGCTCAGCGCTAGGGCAGGGGAGGAAGACTCCACTGAACCCCCCCATCCGGGTATGCAGGAGCCACTGGAAGTCTTTTCTGAGGGCTTCCCTTGGAGCATGCAAAATACCTGGCTAGGCCCAGGGGACCCAACCCAACCTGGCTCCAGGACAGTAGGACCTGGGGAGCAGCTGCAGAGACAGGGAGGGTAGGCACCTTGGCCTCCTGCCACCCCCATGTCCAGCCCTCTCCACACAGCAGGTGGCGCTGTTCCTCCAGCCAGTCCCACCCTGAGGGGGGTCTGGCCCAGGCACTGACCCAGCCAAGCTTTGACCTAACCTTGACCTACTTTTCCCTAAACCCTGCGCCCCACCTGTGAGTCCGGAGTGACTCTGCTTGGCGAGGGGCTCGGGACAGGCATGGGTCTGTCTTCACTCAAGGCCTCTCTGAACAGAAGAGGAAAAAGTCTAGATAAGGGACCTGCTCACAGTCACTCAGGTGGTAGGGACAGATCTAGAGCCAGAAGCCAGCCCTCCCAGCCTAGGACTCTGGTGTTTCTTCCACCCTATGGTCTCATTCAGTTTGCAAATTATCCTGTTCAGTTGGTGGAGCAGAAGTAGAAGCAACTGAGGGCCAGAGAGGTTGGGTGGTTTGCCCAAGGTCACACAGCCAGCAGAGAGGCTCTCCTGAGGGGCAATTCTGGGAGAGGCTGGAGGAGTGGCACTCCACCCCCCAGCACCCACTCTGGATGCTCGTATGGCCCTTCCGTCTCAGCTTGGAGGAAGGTGGGAGAGAGCATAAGGGCCCCAGCCCCAGGCGTCCTCTCTCGCCCTAGCCAAGGGAAGCTGTGCCCCTGGCCTCAATGACTGTCTGGGTTCCCACTCACCACCCTTTGGGCTTCCTAAGTAAGATGGGTGGGTGCCAGGGCTGGAGAGGCACACGGGAGGCCGGGAGTCCTGTGGTAGGGAGGCCTGGCCAGTTGACTAAGCCCCACCCTCTCCTGGGCTGGCCTCCAGCTGGTTACTCATTAACCCTTAAGCCCCTGCTTCCCTTTCCCCAGGTCTGCCTTCTGTCCTGCTGCCTCCTCCTGGCCCTGCTGCCACTCAGGGGCCAACACTGGACGCTGGGACCTGACCTGAACCGTCGAAAGCACCATTTACTGATCACTTCCCTGGCACTTGACCTACATACACTGTGAGGCAGGAATAATGGGCTGATTTACAAATGAGGGCTGTAAGGACCAGAGGGCAGGCCTTGGAGTGGCTGAGCCAGCCATAGGGGACAGCACATCTGCTGGGCCTGGGCTGAGTTCTCAATCCCTCACCCACTGTGGCTTGGTGGGGAGAGGGTGCAGAGGGGAACTCCTCCCCATGCATGGGCCCCTCAAGGTCCTGGCGATGCAAGGCTCCCTGGGGTTCCCTCACCAGTCCCAGTCCCACCCCCACCCCCGGACTCTGCCCCAGCTGGGTGAGTTGGGAGATGGTAGCCTTAATTCTTGGCTGAGCCCTAAAGTCTGGGATATTTCAGCCACCTCTTTCCCCCAGCCCAGAGATGAAAATCCCTGGGGACAGTTGCTCATGGCCTCATGGAGTCAGGGGAGATGGCAGGGCCTGAACCCCTAACAGGCCAGCTCCCACTGAATTAACAGGAGGCTCCATCCTGTCCTATCCAACTTCAAGCCTACCCAGAGACAATAATCCAGCCAGAGGAGTTGGAGTGTTGGGAATAAAATAGACGTATCTCTTCCAGACCCCACCCTTTGATGACCAAGACAGGCAAGGCTTAGCTCATGGGGATGGCCCTTGAATGATGGACATTTTGGCACCGTGTGGGATATGACTGAAAAACCTGTGGGTGGGGGAGGCTTACAAAGAAGCTGGTTTTCCAGTGGGCCCTGGGCAACTCCTAAAATAAATTCACTTTAAAAAAATCACATGGTGTAGGTGGGTCTACTTTGTCCGCAGGCAAGCCTGACCCGGGTGGGGGAGAGGCAGAGCAGAGAATGACAATTGTCTTAAGGGAGGCTGCAGAGGGAGAGAAACCTCTGGGGTGTATCAGCTGGGAAAGAACAGGCGCCTCAGTGTGGCCCTCTCCCCCCTCTCGGCCCTGCCCCTGCAGGGGGGGGCACGCACAGCTGGGGCCTCCAGCAAAATCCCATTCTATATATCTAAGAGCAACAG